CACCAGCTCCGCCCGACCCTTCGAGCGCAAGTTCGAGAGCCCCAAATTCAACCACAACCTGCTTCCCAACGACACACAGTCCAAACCCAGTGTGAACAACAACCTGAAACCTCAAATCTCGCCCCAGCCCCTGGACACCGACAGCGGGGTCGACACTTTCACACGCACCATGGACAACAGGCCCAAGAATCAGCACAACAACATCAACGCCCTTCCCAAGTCCATTCCTGTCAGGTAAGATGATGAAAGAACATCAGCCAGAGCTGGATTTATTCCTTCTGTTTACGAAACGACTCACTCAGTATGTTTACATGGACAACAATATTCCGATTTTAACACGATTAAGACAATACTCTAATTAAGAATCTACCATGTAAACAGATTTTTGATTACCGTGGAGTCATTGAGTCCGAAATTTTCGCACATTAAAAAATAAATACGACCTCACGTTGTGTCAATCACATTTACACACTGCCTCCGAAACTTTCGTCCATCATAAAAAAATTTGAATCAGGTTCGATTTTCTGCGTTTTCGCATCCGTAGCAAGCATTTTGATAGGAAAGGATGACGAATACGAAAAAAAATGAAAAAACGCATACGAAAATTTCGGACTCAGTGTGCAAAGACCTTAAATCCAGCTAAAGTCATGCTCGAAGTAAACAGAAATCGAATTAAGACATGTGGAGTATTCCTATTTTAGTCGCATTTTCGAAGTGCAGTATAGACATGTACACACCGTAATCACACTATTACCGTCGTGTAGAACTTTTCGCCGCATTTTGCGATAGGACGGCTGCGGTCAACCGTTTGACGGTAAATAAAAGAGCATCGCTTCAACAACGCTGTCATCTGTTTGCACGGTTAGCATGACAAATAATCATAACATCATAACGAAGACGAACTATGTTTATACGTGAAATTCTGGAGGGGACGTCGGATGGCGTTATGTTGGGACGTAATGACGTGTGCCATTAATCGATTTATGTACTATAACATGTAAAACAGGAACATGAAAGGAATATTCTAAAAGCAACTCATGTAAACACCTTAATCATAATATTGTCTTATTTAGAATAAGGTAAATAATTAGATTACTGATGTCCATGTGTCTGTTTTCTAGCCCTAATGCACTGGATGACGATGTGGAAGACGAAGGTCACACTGTGGTCGCCACGGCGCGGGGCATCTTTAATTGTAACGGTGGGGTGTTGAGCTCCATAGAGACAGGAGTCAGTATTATCATCCCGCAAGGAGCGATTCCAGATAGCGTGGAGCAGGAGATCTACTTCAAAGTGTGCCGGGACAACAGCATTCTGCCCCCTCTGGACAAAGAGAAAGGTCTGAATCTCGTCTACTTTTGTTTGTTTTATTTTCATTTTTGTTTCAGTATATTTTTTGTTTGTTTGTTTTTCCTTTTTAGACTTTTGTTAGCTTTGAAGTTAATTTACACTTCACATATTTATGCAGAACTTGTTTGAACAAAACTACCTTAGTTAAAAGTTGCAAGACTGAACAAAAAACGAAGAAAAACATTGTCTGGTAACAGTAAGTTTCGTTTAAGGGCTGTTCACATCAAGTTCAGTGCACTGCAGAAAAGAAATGCACAAAAGCTGAAATTTTGTCATGCTCTAGTGGGAAAAAACGAGTTTGTTCAGCATAAAAACTATTAAAAAAAAACCTGTTTACATAAAATCCAGTGCCGCTAAACAAAGTATAAAATATTAGCAAACAAATGTTTTGCTACACTGAACCTGATTTCTTAATTTTATGTTTTATGAAAATTTTTATGTTTGGGGTAAGTAAGTGTTTTTTTTTTAATTAGTACTTTTATTCACCAAGGAAGCATTAAATTGATGAAAAGAGACAGTAAAGCAATTTATAATGTTACCAAAATATATATATATATTAGGGCTGTCATCGTTAACGCGTTAACGCATGCGATTCATTTTACAATCCTTAACGCGTTAAAATAATTTAACGCAATTAATGCAAAATTACTGAAGCACAATTTCTATTCTAACCCTTTAACCCAATTTTGCTTCTCTGCTTGCAGTTAGATCATTTTAAGCTGCTAAACTCCGGGAAAGTTTTCAGTCAGCGCTAATATAAAGGAAACCAGGCTGATTACATCAGAGATTGCAGAGAGAACAGAGACTCGCGTTGCGTTTTATTATTCATTCCAGTGTGTTTCGCTTTTAAACACGAGCTCTGTCATATTCTGTGATTGTCTCTGAAGAGCGCGACACACTGATCGCACATTGTATTTATGCGCAGGCACAGACATTTCCGTACATTCACGATAATGTTTTGATTTGTCATGTTTATGTTGCTGTGTTTAGTTATTCTGAATGGATCCGTGTACTGTAGTAGATATATGCAGTCAGCAGGCGATTGGTTTAAGTTTTTTTGGCATCTCCATGTGGTCCTGTTCGGTATCGCGACTTGGCTTCTCTAAAATGTAAAAAAGCTCTTTGGTGTTGTACTGTACACGTACTATAAAATGCAGATTTTTTTTTTCTTTCATATGTGCTTATATGGGCTCCTTATATCATTTGGTTCTTTGATGTCCTTTTGGAGTTTCTAAGTGTCCTTTTTTGGAAAGTCATCTAAATTTATCTTGAAAAAAGCTTGCAGAAAATATAGATTTTTGAGAATCACCCTTCAATCTTTTGGTTTACTTGGCTGGATATAGCAAATGATGACAAAATAAACATTTGAAATAAGATAAATGGTCTATGCTTAATTTCATGAAGTGTGCGATTAATCGCGATTAATCACAGAAAAAGGATGTGATTAATTAGATTAAAAATTTTAATCGATTGACAGCCCTAATATATATATATATATATTAGATGATTTATATATGTATATTAGATTTTAAATAAATGTTGTTCTATTTATGACTTTTATGATTTATGCTAAGCTTTCTATTTATGAAAGAATTCTGAAAATATATGTATCAGTTTCCACAAAAATATTGATTGTAATAATAATAAATGTTCTTCTTTATAGTATTTTTTGACCCCAAACTTTTGAATGGTGGTATAGTTGTTGAATTAATGACACACTGTTGCTCCTGAAGCTTATTGTAGCCTGTCTGCTCTTCCAGGTGAAACTCTGCTCAGTCCTCTGGTGATGTGCGGCCCTCACGGTCTGAAGTTCCTGAAGCCCGTGGAACTGCGTCTACCACACTGTGCGTCTATGACCCCTGATGGTTGGTCTTTTGCTCTTAAATCCTCTGACTCCTCGTCGGGTACGCTGTCCTTTCTCTCTGTCCTATGATGGGTCTTTTGGGATCGGGATTGAAGCTGTTTGGAAACCGCTATCCACCTTGTGATTTCCTTTCATTTTCTGGGTTCCCTGAATTAACATTTCACGCTCAGAGTTATCCTGATCACATGACACTTTCACTGTGTGATCTGTGCGCTTGCTTTGCTTCATCGATTTATCACCAGTCTGAATCGCAGATGCACTTAATGTCTCTTTAGCTCTTATTCATTCACAATTAACCCATGTCATTTTGTAAAATGTGACTGGAACTGACACACATCATTGGGCTCAGTATGGCCACGTTTGAGGAAGACAACCAGGAGCGAGTCCATCTAAATTAGCATTCGCTTTGTGTATAAATACAGGAGTCACTCCTGATCTTGTGATGGTTATCACGGTGGTAATATGGCTGTAGATAAGAAATGTGGATGCCAACAAATGAACCCGTTTGGCATTGGCAGTTTTTTCTGCATTTGGTTGTGACACCCATTTATAACCAAACTCTGTGTGAACAGAACTGGATTAAGTGTTCAAAAGAGGAGTGACTGTTAAATTTAGCTGCAGTGTGAAAATGGCATGTCTAAATGGAGTAATTGGGTTACTCTGGGAAAATTTTGGATTTAAAACCACATTTAATTTCATTTCCAGGACTGAATATGCTAAATAATTGTGTACGAATACAGGAGTCACTCCTAATTTCGGCATGGTGGTAATGTGGTGTCTTGTGGCTGTAAACAAGAAAGGTGGATGCCAGCAAATCTTGGTTTTACGTTTGTGACCTTGTTTTTCAAAAATGAATTTGGTTTTCACACCCATAACCAAATTCTGTGTGTGAACAGAACTGGATTAAGTGCTCCAAAGGGGAGTGACAGAATTTAGCTGCAGTGTGAATAGGGCCTGTCCAAACAGAGTCATTTGGTTCAGGGAATCAAAACCATATTTAGTTTATTTGCAAAACTGAATCCCTTAAATTAGGAGTCACTCCTGATCTCATGATGGTTGACATGGTGATAATGTGGCATCTTGTGGTTCTAAATGACATGTAAATGACATGTGGTTGTAAATAATAAATTAACCTGATTGCTATTTTTGATAAGTCTTTCCCGGAGCAAATTCATTTGTCACTACCCTAATTTTATTTTAGAAGTATTTTTTATTATTAGCTCATGTTAACTAATTCAGTGAATGGAACCTATATTATTATATATTTTATATAATACAATTTTGGGCTAAATTGTGCAGCCCTACAAACGGCCACAGCAAACCTAATGCCTTTTTCTTTTTAATCCATAATTTATCAGAATTTTTTTCACAAATCGTGCAGCCCTAGTGTGAATAGAAAAATGTTTAGATTATGATGTTGTCTTATAGCATATTCCTCATGATGTTCCTCCTGTTGATCTGTCCACAGGTGACCCCAAATGCTGGCAAAACAAGTGTCTACCAGGAGACCCCAATTACCTGGTGGGCGCCAACTGTGTGTCCGTGCTGATCGACCACTTCTGAAGAGAGCAACAGCTGGTCTGTTACTGAACGTCAGCGCATGGACCCTTCTCCAGCTCTTCTACTCAGGAGGAGGGATTTGCACCACTTTATGAAGTATTAATTCTTCCATCTTTTCTCTGATGGGCTGAAGCGTCGTGCCCAAAAAAATCTCTTCGAGAACAGCACTGATGGCACAGAGCGCTCCTTTTCCTATTCCCTTTGGTTTCCACTTTTTTTTTTTTCCCCCCCCGAGTTTGGTTTTGCCTTTTTCTTTACCTTTTGGTGCTTGAAGACTTGCAAAAAATTACTGAATAAATAAATTACTGAAATCGAACTGCTAATGGAATGCATGACCTGTGCCACAAGACAGTCGGAAAAAGTTATCCCATTTTTGACATTTGTAGCGTCTTTTTCTCCAAATAATTAGAAGTCTTGAACGGAACCGGAAAAACAATAGATGAAAAAATGAAGTCATTTTACGTAAAACAAGTGAATCCTACCAATGTGCTCCCAAACAGAAAAGTCCATGTATGCAGAGCTTTTTTGTTTGCGAGGTCGTGTGTGTTTTTCGTGGAACGCTGTAACGGATTTTCGCGGATCTGGAAAGCATGTCGGTTTGTAAAGAATGAAGAACAATTGAGACTTTCTGAAGTGAAGAACTGATTATTGAAGGAATGTGACTCTTGCACTCATCTGCTCATGGACTTCTCTCTCTGGCTAAAAACGAAAAAACTAAAAAATGGGCTCTTTTTCCTCTCTCTCTCTCATTTTGTAGCGATCTTTTCTAGCGATGTTTTATTGTCGATAAACACTGACTGTGGTTTTCCGAAACTCCTGCTGTCTAGAGATCTATGCATGTGCTATGACTCAGGTCCAAACGCCTGCTACTAAGTTGAGTACACAAACCTACCCATCATACACTGCAAGCAGTGATGCCTTATCTGCATTTTTGTTTTGTTTTTGTTACTTTGACCCGAAAGACGTCGAATTTCTGTTACAGAGGGAAGGACACGAAACTCTCCCACCGTAATGAAGCGGGATATTTAGCACACAAACAATGAAGTCTGATCAACAGGTCTGCTTTCTCACTGCTATGCATATGAAGTCAAAGAATATACAAGAACACTAGGATGTGTTTCAATTACAGCTGTATATATTGTGCTAGCATATGGCCTTGGTTCGCTGTAAATGACCTTTTGTACATCTTTGTTATTTTGTATAAAAACGTAACATGGAAAAAATTTCTTAACAAAGGAAAACTATAACATTGGTTATATTTGTATTCCGGTTATACTTCTGAGCTTTGGAATTTACCTTAGCAGTACGGAGAAAAAACTGAAGCGAATTTGAAAAATAGCATAATAAATGCAACGGAAAAGGACGTTATCTTTTATACCAACAGCATATATACAAAACACTACGTAATGGCATTTTTAACAGTTACAGAAACATTTTTATTATTTACAAACTAGAAAAGTGCTCCGTTTGAATAATTTAAGGACTCTGTACTTCAGAAGGGTCCGCGTTGGTGGTCGGACCCCAACTTTATTTGTGATACTGGATGCTGTATTGTGTGCCCTGAAATGTATTTTTGTACTAATAGACAGTTTATTAAGGCACATCAGTACGACTTTTTTTTGATATGACGACGCAGCTTCATCCCGGGTTTAGTTTCTTTACTTTGTGTGGCGACATTCTTTTTATGTTCTCTTTTTTTCCTTTGCAGCACATTTCTAAGTATACAACTGTATTAATAAATTAATTTTTAAAGTAAAAACAAAACAATCGTTTTTAGTGCTTCACTGATACGGTGTTGGATAATCTTGACGATTGTGAAATGGAAACGATGTCAATGACCCCGGTATTGGGTACAGAATGAAACCGGTTCAGTTGGGTTTGTGCTTTGTAGAAATGTTTATTTTTTGAGCTCAGAGGTTGATGGGATGGGAGGGTCATGGATTTTGCCCTTTCACCTACTTAAAACATACTGCCGCTGATTAGAGTCTCTTGACCAGCGGACACAAGAGCATTGAGAAAACCAGCGACCGGATTTCTTAAAAGCCATTGTGTCAGCAAGATGAATCATAAAGCAGTGACTCTCAACTGGTTTGTGGCAAGTGGTGAATCAGAACCACAATTATTGTACTAAAGAAAAAAATGTCATTCAAATAAATGTACATTTTAAATTAAATTTGAGCGACAAATTTGCGGCAAAATACCATAGCGTTTGATTGGACACGGCCTTTGAATTTAGCAAAATACGCTGTATGGGAAGCCTTTTGTGCCTAGTTTGCTACAAACAGTTAATTATTTGTATTTCCCATTTATCTCTACTAACCATGAGCCAGTTGAGAATCGCTGCTTTGAGAGTTAAAGTTGTAGTATATACTATTATATAAAGTAAATTTAGTGTACCACAATCCTATTAGAGTCTATTTAACTGCAGGTTGAGATGATTATAAATGAACATTATTAAAAGGTTAAGTCATAAAGTACTAATGTAAAACAGTTGATTGTACTGCTCAAAAGGTTCAAATCATTCACCGTAATCACTTGTTTTCCCTGAGATTAGTGGGTAACTACTGGTTAGTAGATTTCAAAGTTGTACCGTTAGCTTATTCTATGGATTTTTACAGTTTAATTTCCTGCGACAGGATCGACTTGTGAATTTCCTGAGAGAGTGGAATGTATTTCTTTTGCGTCAGGTCCAGGAAGTAGAGAGGATCTCGTATTAAGGTCGGGTCAAAGCCCTCCTCCACCAGCTTCACTTTCTTCATCTTGAAAGTTCCTGTGACTTCCAAGGAATTCTGAAAAACAAATTTGTTGTTGGCGAGTGTCAGAGAGAGACTGAAGAGGACAAGCAGGATTCATGGGAATATATATATGGTAAGGTTTCATCAAACCTGAATTCGGATGAATCGAGGTCTGGCGTACACTGGAAGATAGTTCGCCAAAACACTGCAAGTGTTGATGCAGTCAAACCCTCTGCCCTCTTTCAGCTTTACGGCTGCCATTCCAATCCTTCCTTCATGACCTGAAGATAAAAGATTTTAGCATGAATATCCTATTAAAAGTATGCTTTGAATATACATAGTATTTCAGTGGATTTTTCTGCTTCCTTAAAGGGACAGATCTCCCAAAAATTACAATTCTGTCTTTGTTTACTCACCCTCAAATTGTTCCAAACCTGTATGAATTTCTTTGTTAAACACAAAAGATGATATCTTGAAGAATGTTGGTAACCAAACAGTTGTTGATCTCTATTGACCTTCATAGTATTTTTTTTTTTACAATGGAAGTCAATAGGAACCAAACGCATTTTGGCTACCAACATTCTTCAAAATATCTTTTGTTCTCAACAACCTGAGGCTGAGTAAACAATGACAGAATTTTTGGGTGAACAATCTTTTTAATGATTCCATTAACTAAAAAACACAACAGCCAAATTATTTTTATTTTAATGCAACTTTTTTCTTTCTAATTTATTAAAGTACCATTTATTTAAAAAAAAAACTTTGCTTTATTTTATTTTTAAAATCTCCATATTTACAAGTAATTGACCTGATTTTAATCTCACAAGCCCTACACACTGCATGATTTTTGGTTAATTTTTAAAAATAATTTTGTAAGTAATGGTATGTGGCTCACTTGTCAAGAACAGTTTTGAATCAGTGAGTCATATTCCAATTGCTAAAAAGAGTCGAATTAGTGTTGCCAAAAGTACCAACGTTGGTACTGAAATTTCAAAAATGTGACGATACCAGCATTTCCCGCTAGCATTTTGACCGGATTCTTAGACACCTCTGATTGGCCATTGTTTTTACACGCTCAACAGATATGTCTGTGATTGGCTACAATGATCAGGCTGACAGATGTGGCTTTTAAACGCTCCCGTGTGTATCTGTGTGAGCGTTCGGTGAAGAGCGTGAAGCGATGATCATTGTAGCCAATCACAGACATATCTGTTGAGTGCGTGCACGCAATGGCCAATCAGAGGTGTTTAACAATCTGCTCAACAGTGCTCAAAATGCTGGTATTGTCACATTTTTAAAATGTACTATTTTGAAACACTACAATTATACAGCCTTCCCGTAGCTCAACCCGTAGATCATGGCAATACTGTAGCAACACCAAGGTCATGAGTTCAATTCCCAAGGAAATCAAGAACATGCATGCAATTTAAGTTGCTTTGGATAAGCATCTGCCAAATGCATAAATGTAATGACACCTTGCTGAAGAAAAAAAAAGGCCCATGAAATGAATGATCCATGAATAAAACTACGTTGAGCACTGTAGACCTTCAAGAACCATCAATGGAATGAATGAAGTATCATTAAATCCATTCAATTCCCAACCCTTCAAATTTCAAATATCTACCTTCAACTTTGACTCCATACACATTGGCCTCCTCGATGCAGTCCACCATCGTGAGAATATCTGCTACCTCAGTTGTAGCCACATTCTCTCCTTTCCACCTGCAAAAAAACAAATGTTAATTCGATGCTTGAAACTCTAAATGTGCAAGTAATGCTTCGGCTCCGCCACCTGAACGTGTCTCCAACTCGATCATGAAAGTAGACAAATTTGTCTTTGTCGATCCTCAGCAGATCTCCACTGTTGAAATACAGGTCTCCTTTCACAAACACATCGCTGAGTCTCCTAGTTTGTGTTTTTGTCGTTGCACTGTCCCAAAGAGCTTCCAGACAAATTTGAGACACAGTAACCTAGTGAGCTTCCTCATAAGAGAACATGCTAAGGGTCATAAAACCTCACACAAATAGTGGTTCTCCACACTGGAAGTTCTCAAATAGTAGAACATGGTGCTACCAACACCAAGGTTATGGGTTCGATTCCCAGGGAATGCGTGAACTGATCAAATGCACTATAAACTTTAAATGCAAAGCAAGTCACTTGAATGCAAAAAGTGCCTGCTAAATGTGTAAATGTAGGAAACTCCATCTACACTTGATTCGTCAAAGTGAGTTTCGTCAAAGTCCCTTTCAAGGAAAGTCTGTTCACTCTGCGGCCATATTTGCGACGCCTCCAGGCAGCTATTTTTGCCATCCAAGTCCTATCTAAATGAATGGGGGAATCCTGAAATCTCGAAAACTATTTTTCTATATAAATATGTTTCTATATAAAACAATTAAAGTACATTTTTCAAATCAGCAACAAAATCTGAAATGTACTGCCCCATGAATGTTGTTCTTTATGCTCAAATAGCATAAAAAAAGCTTCTTTTTCAGGCTAGACCAGCCAATGTGCAGTCCTAAGCGCAAGTCTCAGGTTACAATGGGAACCGGAGCTTCTAACGGCCGTTGCAGTAACAATCAGCAATTGGCTCTTTCATTTAAAAGGCGGGGCATATTCCACCATATTGTGCTTTGCAGTTTCTCCCATTCATAAGTAATAGGAGTGAACCATCTTTGTATATCTAAAGTCTTTGGTTTCATGTTAGCATGTTGCTAAGCTAACAGGTGCAGTCATATTCACCATTGTTCTGCAAAATTTAGCTGGCGAAATCCAGTCATTTTCATAGGAATTCGCATTAGCTGCAGTTTAGTAAATTTCACAGTTTTTAATCGATATTTTTCAGTATTGAATGAAACATATTTATAGTCATAATTTTCCATGATTTTTCTGTCCGCCATCTTGAATGACTGGAAATTGACAATTGTTAGCATGTTGCTAAGCTAACAACTTGATATTCTAACAAGCCTAAAAACAGGGTTTACACAAATTCTGAATGAAACAGTCAACTTATGTTTATGTTTTCTCTAACCACCATCTGGGAGGATTTTTGGTTGCAATGCATTCTGGGATTACCTTCTCAGCAAGTCTTAACGTGCATTCACATTTACCATTATTGGGCAAATTTTCGTAACTGAAATCCAGTCATTTTAATAGGAATCCATGTGATCTAAAATGTCACGCCAGGGCGAAATATTTCTTCACGCAGATTTCGCAATGGGTTACAGTTGGTCACACGGATTCTGCTTGGGTTGAAAGTGACTTCTGTGTGAGCTGTGCTTCACACATCACTACACTATTGACAATGGACAAAATACAGCTGAAATTTTGGTAATATGGCTGCAACTTTAAAATAATAATAATAATTTTGCTGTCTATACCCTTTGGACAAGTCTTCACAAGTCTAGGCAGCTCACTAGGTTTTAACAGAGCTAATGACAGTTTAAGCCCTTAAAAATAAATTATAAAGACAAATATCTCCATACTTATAAACCATATGTGCTTTTACCTTTGGCATATTGCAGAGGTAGCGCAGTGTTTCACCAATGTACTGCATCACAGTTATGTTGTACTTTCTGCAGTCGTCCCAGAACTGAGAGGCGGAAAACTTCCTCCGCAGAACCACAGTGTTACCTGGAGAAAACATGTACGATGTAAGCAGCACTATATATATATATATATATATATATATAACCACAAGACTAATCTAAATCTTCTAGATATAAAATCAGCGTATAATATAATCATCAAACCTCTTTCAATGGATCCGACAAGTCCGATGAGGAATCCAGCGCTGTGATACAGAGGCAGATTGATGTAGAATATGTCTTCAGACGTCACTCCACAAACACCCTGGATGAACGATGAAGCCCAGACCCTCTCATGGGTCACATATGCTGCTTTAGGAAGACCTCCATGGACCGAAATACCAATGTTATTTAGGGATCCTTATTATATATACACAGTCATATATCAGTGACTATATATTTAGCTTTTTTTTTTAAATCAGCAGTATCAGCCTGCTTTGATATGCTATTGCATGGAATATAACAATAAATATTACATAAACCACTACATGTGGCCTTGTCAGATACCTGTAGTGCCGGAAGTGTAGATATACAGTGCTGTAGTCCTGATATGGATGTTGGACCTGAGAGACGGGGACAGAGGCGTATCTGAAGCTTTGGCGATGGCTTGACCGATACACTGAATGCCGTCTGTAGTGCGCTCATCCGACAGGAGGTATACAGTTATCCCCTTTTCTTTCAGTGTCGGCAATATCTCCTCAACAGCATCACGAAGCTCTGCAAGAGAAACACTTCACTGCAAAACTCTAGTTACTGACACACCTGTATGATTACAATAATTCAGAGAGAAATTGTTGATTTTCAATGATTTTAAAACATCTTATTAAACATTAACAAAGCAGTTTCTGATATCGTGCAAAAGTCTTCCAGATATCGGTTCCCAAAGAAACAGGCTGGTTTTTACATGCACAGCATGTGCTTGAGTTCTCTAGGCCAGTGCTTCTCAAACTTTTGTCTTGTGTTCCACTTAAACCCATAAGTGGGGCTCAAGCACAGCTTCGTTAATGTGCTCTTTTTTCATATTATCCACCCGATAATATTTTCAACTCGAAAGTAAGCTATTTCCTGAGAACATGCTAGATTTATAGGTAAATAAATAGAAGAATAACAAAGTGCAGTAAATGGTAAACAATTTGGGCTGCAAGCCTCTTGTTGTAGGGATGTAAAGGTATTATCAATATAGTGATAACTGCCTCAATATTATCGTGGTCACATGACGATATGAAACAATTGGTCTTCCGGGCAAAAAGTGTAGTTTTCAAAATTTAAACTTCTTATTCTAACATAAAAGGTCTTTAAAGTTGAGTTTTGGGCCATTATGCTTTGGCAGAGTATCTGTCAAACGAACTAAAACCGAAAGCACAATATGGCTTAATTCCTTCAAGTCTGTTTTTGCTGCGTGTTTCAAAGCGAAGCGCGCATTTCGTTCAGGCGATCAGCTCGTGATCCGCTGTTTTCCGCGCCGCAGAACGGCTCCGTTCACACTGAATGAATGCAGTCAACTCGTTTACTGCATGTGCTGTGAGTTTAGCGCGCGTTTGGGAACGCAACGGCCACCAGTTAGATGATTACAGCATTTCACTAGATTTGTAGAGATGCGTTTTTGTAAGCCTGTTTTCATTGAAGCTGAATTGTAATTTCCCTACTGTAGTGTAAAGCAAAAATAATATACCTATGAAATATTCATTTTCATTTATTTTACAGAGCAATTGTTTTACAATATATGGCTATTGCTGCATAGGAATAATAATAATATAAAATTGTTGTCGTTATTATTATAATATTATAATTTGTTTGGCTTCCTAAAACACCAGTGTGAATGTAATTTAAACTGAGACAGTAAGAGGGTTGAGTCCCTTTTAAAGTTCAGGTAGAAGTCAATTCACTGTCTTTTTTCTGGCTTAAGTTTTCTTAGGAACATGGGTTGAAGCTCTTAATTTTGAACTCTCAAAGTGCATTAGATAGAATAATTTAACTTTAGAACTTTCATTTTTTCCAAGTTTTAATCTGTCTTTTTTTAAAGCTGCAGTCCATAACTTTTTTGTGTTCAAAATTTATACAATAAACGAGAACACCATGAATCCATTTTCCAAACCGTGTTTTTGGCTTGTCCTCAATCACTACGGTACACCTATAATAAGTGTTTATATTCGGACTATTTTAGGCTGGTTCGGGTAGGTACCGCTGCGGAGTAGCCCAGTACCTGCGTGATTCACCATAGACATAAACAGAGAGAAGTAGCTCCAGCTACAGTGTTCTTCCGCAAGACTCACGCAGTTCTGTTTATTAACCGCTAGAGCGCCAAAAGTTACGGACTGCAGCTTTAAATATAGTACCGTGGACTTCATTAGTGCTGTCAAACGATTAACCGCGATTAAACGCATCCAAAATAAAAGTTTTTGTTTACATAATATATGTGTGTGTACTTTGTATATTTATTATGTATATATAAATACACACACATGCATGTATATATTTAAGAAAAATATGTTACGTTTAATATATTAAATATATTTATATATGATATAAATGATATGAATATAAATACATGTAAATATTTTCAAAATATATGCTGTATGTGTGTGTATTTATATATACATAATAAATAAACAGTACACACATACAGTATGTGAACAAAAACTTATTTTGGATGCAATTAATCACGATTAATCATTTGACAGCACTAATTA